GTCCCCCCCCCCCCAAGCCCACCAAGTCTGCTGGTTTCCAGGTCTTGTCTGGCGGAAGAACATGGGGAGGATTGGGGGGGGGGGCTTGTTCCCTTGATGTGGTTTCCATGGTGATCAGTATGGGGGGGGAGACATGAGGCCTAGGGAGCGCCAGCCAAGCCAGCTGTTGTTGCAGACAGCGCCCCCGTCGTGCCCCCCCACCCTGCACCCCCACATACACACAGCCCCCCCCAAAAGGGGGGTCTCCCTTTCCCTCTTCGCACCCCATCTTGGCTTGGGGCAGTCCCAGAGATTGGAGGATTCAGAGGGGGTTGATCAATATGGTCACAGTTGCCTCCTCTTTCTAGACTTCAAATGGGGGGGGGGGCTCGATTGCCTTCCTCTCTCCAACCCCACCCCCCAATATATTTTTTAAAAATCGGGTGGGGCTCAAGTTCTTCCCAGTCTCCGGAACTGCTAGAAGCTACTGCCTCTTAACGGAGGCTCAGTCATTAACACACACAAACACACACACACCCCGCAATGTCTGATCTGTGTCTTTTGGGGGGGAGCGAAGAACCCCAACACACACACACCGCAATGTTTGATGTGTCTTTTGGGGGGAGCGAAAAACCCCATTATTTTACCCAAAGGGGAAAAAAGAGGTGGGGCGGAGACGCGAAACGCAACATTGAGACGGGCCGGGAGTCTTCCCGCAGCACTTCCCCTCTGGCTCGCTGCGTTTCGAAGCGGGCGGGCGGGAAAAAAAACAACTGAGCTGGTTCCCCCCCCCCTCCTCTTGGCATCACGTAATAAGGGGAGGGGGAGGGCCCTGATCCTTGCCACGGTCTCCTCATGCACGCAGGGCCACCAGGGCTCCCGGATCGTCATTTGGGAACTTCGGAGACTTGCAAATAAAAGGCATTGCTTGCTCCGCCCGGGCGCCTGTGTGTTTTTTTTTTGCAAGCTCTCGCCCGCTGGCTGTGATGCAATCCCCGGGTTGCAACGCGCCGTTGGAATGACAGCTCGTCGTTGGCGCGCCGCCTCCCCCCTGCCTTGAAGAGCCCCCCCCTTCTTCCATTGCTTGCTTCTTTTCCCTAGGAAGGATCTAACCCCTTTCTCCCCTCCCCCCCACCGCCTGACGCAAGCTGCGTGACTTCCTGTCGCTCTTGAGTCATAAGAGGAGGAGGGTGTTGCTGTAGAGATCCATTGCAAAAAAAGAGAGAGAATTCTGCTGTGACCCTGGAAAGGGGGGGTGTTGTTGCACACGACCTCACTCCACTTAGCTTGCAAAAGTATGTGTGTGGGGGGGAGGCTGAGCGGTCAGCAAACCCAGACTGCCTCCCCCCCCCCCCCTTTGCTCCTCTTTTATATGGGAACAGTTTCAGTGGGTAGCTGGATCTGCAGGGGAGGAAAGCATCCCCCCCCCATTCTCCTCTTTTATATTGGAACAGTTTCAGTGGGTAGCTGGATCTGCAGGGGAGGAAAGCAAGATTCGAATCCAGGAGCGCCTAAGTTGCGGGCCAACAAGAAGGGGCTCTTTTGCATTATCATATTTGGCACTGGTTTGTCCCTATTGTGTGTGTCCC